GATGGTCTTGTGGCTTCAATTCCTGCACCAGCTGGATCTTATATGGGTGTAGCCCAAGATCTTTGCGCAAAATTTTCCACATGGTGGACGAACAAAGCCCCAACTTCTGCGATCGACGGCAAATCGATAATTTAGAATTTTCTTGCACACTTTCGTTTACCGCAGTAATATTTTCTTCAGTACGCACATTCTTTTGACGTAATGCTGTTTTTACATCCTTTAGAGAGAGTTTGGTTCTAAATCTATCCACAGTGCGACGGATGGCTTGCTCAGATGGACGATTATGTGCACCGTAAAATTCACGAAGTCGTCTATGTGTTCGCGAATTGAGGAATGACTTTCAAAGTAAATTTTGATAATTTGATAACGTTGTTCCAGCGTGAGTCTATTCATAATGATTTGCCACACTATACTAAATACAAATGTCACTAATATCGCGCAAAATGACGTATGATTCCAAAGCAATTACGATCTGAAGTTCTATCATTCTTAAAAAAACACCCTTTACTTGGTGCTTAGAGAATCGACATATTTTTTGTTATTTGGGCAAAAAGCGGGACATACCTTATCGTTCTTTGGAAATGGATGCATTTTTACACTATCTCCCCTGCTTTTGCACTTTAGTACACAACAAGAATAAACCATAATAATGAATACACAATACAAACTTAAAAGGTTAAAATTTAAGTTATTCTTTCAAGTCAAATTATTATGACAACTGTCATTATGACAACGGTAGTCTCGGTGACAAAAACAATTTTGGCGACATTAGCGCCTCTGGCAAGCGTAGTCTAAACTTCTCAGCGGACAAGTTTTTGTACAGTAAAGATGCACAAACATGGGTTGTCTGGTATTTTGTTTCAAACAGGCTCTGGGTGCTGTGGACACCCCGTGATTTTTTCAACTTTTGTTATAACTTCACATTAAATAAGGTTACCTATACCCTGTAAAAAATCAATTGGAACGCACGAACAAAAAACATGTGCATGAAGCACAGGAAAAAGAAAGCTTCGATTCCATAGTAAATTCTAGTATCGAAAGTGAGTGACTTTGTGCAGGCTGGGTTTTGCCTCACTATTGACTTTTTTTACCAAATCATAATTACTTGTAAAAGTAAACCTTATCTTATGTGCTTAGTGTTTTTTTTTTGTTTTTATTATTATTATGACTTTTAAAATTTGTGTTTTTTAAATAAATGCTTTATTTTATTAAAATTGTCGTCTTTTGACATTTTCTTTTGTCATCTTTTATCAAATTTGAACGCAACGAAATATGTTCTCATTGTCTCTAAGATCATCTTACCTTGATAACCTTAAAAAAAAAACAAAAAAAAAGTAAATAACACTCAGGGACGCTTTGCCATCAGGGGTGTCTCTGAAACCCCGCGCGACCTACTACGTTGCATAAAGAGGTGCGCGTGCATAATGGTTAATTATATATTAGAATATTTAACAAAATATATGTTGGATACATAAAATAATAATAGACATACCAGAGACTGACTTTTTTTTTTTTTTTTTATTGACTTTTAATCTTTTCGATTATTTAGCCAGCTTATTATTATAAATTTTTATGGTTCTTAAAAACAACCACAACACCCAAGGCTGTGACCGGGAATCGAACCCGGCTGACTTAAGATAGCAAAAGTTCTGGGTTTTATAGCCGAAAATGCTTTTAAAATACTTTTGGCGGTGCATCATATAGGTTATAAAACTCTGAATTTTAACATTTTGGTATTCTAAGGTCCCAAGGTCGTTTCCTTTTAAATTTACAATAGAATATTTTTTATAAAATCGCGTGACATTTATTTTCTTTTTACTCTTAAGTTACATTTTTTTTTAATTACCGAGTACAATTGTACCAATTACTTAATAGGTCTAAAATTTCACATATTTGCAAAGGGACGAATGGTGCCGATAAACGTCTAAAGTTTTTTACTTTTTCAACAAATAAAATTCCTTTAATATTATGAAACCTCTCCACACGACTTTTTCCCGCTGATTCATTTAAACTTTTCATAATAATACCGTTTCTTTAGGTGCATTTAATTTCCTACCAAAAATTTAATCACCAAGTTTTCACTTAATAACTAGGTAATATATTTTTGTTTAATTTTATTTTTTTTTAAGTTGAAAACCAAATAAAATTTTAAAGTAGGTACCTATATTCAAATCCCTAAAATGCAAATTTTGTAACTGTAAAAGTTCCATAAGTTTTAGGATGGCGATTTTAAAATTCTCTTTACTAATTAAATGGGCAATTGGATGAAGTTGTTAAGTAACGTTTTTAATAATAAAGGGTAACAAATATTGTAATTGTTATATCAAATTTATTGTTATTAACAATTACAATATTGTTTGTTATTTTATAATATAATTTAATAACAATAATTGTTGTCCTTTATCATTAAAAATGTTACTTAACCCCTTTATCCACTTGCACCTTCAATTATATGTCCTAACTACCAAAATGTTATTTTATTTTCACTTTGTGCAATTGCATTGCAGGCTTACAGTATGACTTCTATGATCTGTACTTAGTGATTTAAGAAGGGAATGTTCTCGTTCGTGACCAAAACTTGTCCGCAGATCGTGCGTCGTCGCGCCGCGTCCACATGTGTCAACAAATATCTTAATTTGTTTTGTGAATCACAACTTGTGATGATGGTAAATGGCAAGTTAGCGGGATAAGTTTGGCTTGTTAATGATTGTTCGTGCTCGTTTGTGCTCTGAGAATGTTCCCCAAAAATAATTGCTCGAGCATTTTGCATCACTAATAATAATAATAATAATAATATTTATTGATCACACAGTTTACAGCATATATAAAACATATTGGACCAGTCAAGTTAAATTACAAAATAATATATAAAAACACTAGGAACACCAAAAAGAAAAATATGTTAAAAATTATCATTATGAAAGTTTCATAATGAAACTGTTCCATAGAATAGCATTTTTTCTCTAAAAACAGAGTCTGCACCTTGTTTTTTAACAACTTGGAACATTTACAAGAAGACGCAATAGACATTATATATAATAATATTAATAATAATAATAACTTTATTTCAATATTGCATAAAAAAAGATGTAAACATGTATAAAATATTTAATATAAATACAATTAATTGTAAATAAAAATGTAACAAAATAAATATAATTCCTAAATTATAACAATTAAAAATAAAATTAAATAAATATACTTTATTATAACATTTAATTTCCATATAAGTAAAAGAATTTTGACATACAGAGAGCCTATAAAGTGGCAAAGCTAACTCATTTTGGCTGAATGAACTATGTATGTTACTATGAGTCAAAATGTCTTTTTTATTTATAAAAATATTTAAAATAAAATTTAATATTTATAAACATTGAAGAGTTAAAATTCTGTATTTCCTAAAGAATGGTGTACAAGAATATGTTTGACTTTTGTTATCCATGCACCTAAGGATCTTTTTTTACATTATAAAAACTTTGTTAAAATGACTAGAGCTACCCCAAATAAAAAAGCCATAGGCAAGATGGGTCTGATCTACCCTAAAGTTCATAAGGCGCAGTACTGAAAAGGTTATTGACTAGGGGTGTCAATCCCGGGAACCCGTAAAAAATTCGATCCCGAAAATCCCGGGATCAAAAGTCTCAATCCCGGGATCTTCGTAATAAGTTACAAAGAATAAAATATACTTTTTTTTCAAGCGTATGACAATTTTTACATTATAATAATCATAAGCATATATAGAAATACTTCATTTTTTTACGCAGTTCAAAAGTCAAAATATTATACACCGCCGTACAATAATAAAAATACATTGAAATTACATAGCAAGAGTGGTTCCATCTATTGCGTTTAGCATAAAATCAGCAAAGAAAATGTAAAAATTACAGGTCACTGTAAAATAAATTCATGAACATAACCTTTAATATAACATATTTCAAACGTCAAATTTGAAAGAATGTCACAAACTTGATAATTTCAATGTAAGTTACAGCCCTAATTGGAACTCACCAAGGCCCGATTAATAAAATAAATGAAATTATTTGTAAATGGGGGTAAGCGTGGGTACAACGTGCCTACGAATTCTTGAAAACTATTCCTCCAACTGGTGTGAAGTCCGAAAGATATCGTTCGTTAGTTTGTTTGTTCAGGACTTTATTTTAAATTGGTTTTAAAATTAATGTTATATATTTTTTCGGGACTGATCCCGGGATCCCGGGATTAGTTACATTTGGTCTCGAAAGTCCCGGGATTGTAAAAAGGGCTCGGGATTGACACCCCTATTACTGACCCTCCTAATGACCCTATTAAATAGCATGCAGAACTTATTTTTTTATTTAAATTATTTATTTGTGTTTCCCATGTTAACTTTCTATCCAATTAAATACCCTAAAACTTTATGGTTTTCGCAGACTCAATTGATTACCTGTAATTGGAATAAATAGATCATAATCTGGTGAAACATTTTTTGGTATAAATCGCATATAAAATGTTTTGTTTTTGTTAATCTATGTGTACTATGCTTTTTGTAGGAAATGCAGTATCAGCCTTTTTTCAAAAAATCTGTACTAAAATAAAACATAATGTATTCTTTTCTCCAAGTTAAATAACTTCTTACTGGCCATAGATAAAAACTTGGTTAACTATTTTTTTATATATTAAAGGATCATGTATGTGTTATGTCAATGGGAAGTTTTTAAACTCAATGAGGTTTTTAAAATTAAAATTAAAAGTTGGAATTTAAACTTTAAGGATTTTTAACAAAAAAAAAATATATAATTTTATAAATTATGGTATGATCACTCCAATAAAACCTTTATTGAATAATTTAAATTGGATTATGTTTGCAATATTCAAACATTTTTAATAATTCTAATTTAAATTTAACCGGTTTTCATGGTTACTTTTTAGCATTGACCACTTTATAATTTATTATTTTAAATTAATAATTAAATAATACTTATTTGTTTTCTGTTTACTAAAAAATATTCTATTATTTACAGTTTAACTTCTTCTGGAGCTACTGAGGGTTTAAAAAGTGTAAACAATAGAGTGAACAAGAAGCCTTTACACACAACTCTCACTGAAGTCACAGAAGAAGAAAAAGATGCTTTGCTCTCGCAAAGGGAGAGCAGCCACGACTATGACTAAGCTTATGTATTTTCTAAAATTTGTGAACTAGTATTTTTTTGTACTGTGATAGATAATGGACCCTCAATAAAAACTATTTAAGTGGAAAAGTTTTTTACTTAATGCTTTTATTTTACGTTTTTATTTAAATCCAATTTAGTCTTGTTGTTATTTTGACTAAGATTTTATATCATATATATATGATGTATGTAAATAATGTAAATATATTTACAGTTTGGTGTTAATGTTGTGATGTACGATTTAAATACGAAATTTTTTTTTATAAAAAAGAAAGAAATGAGCTAACAAAACACTTTAACAAATACTTGTTTAATTGTGATAATAATACATATGATTGTAACAATAATACATTTATATACTATTATAACAATGTTATCACTGTCATTGTTAAACACGGATTTTTAAAACGTTTTTATTGTGGTTATTGTGGTTAAATACCTAAACCAATTAAAGGATTATTAGGACAATTAGATTGATTAAATATGGTTATTAAATTGTTTTATTACCATTTTTATTATTACCATTATTAAACCGTTTATATGCAAACATTAATGATTATTAAAGACTTTAATTACTATTATTAAAATATTTTAAGAACTATCATTTTCGGCATCAATTCGCCCGCTCGCGTTGGTTTCGCGGTACTTTTGGCAAACGACGCAACGTGAGAGCGAGGAGTGGTCGATGGTGATAAATGCTAATAGAAACTTTTTATAGTGCAATGGAAATGGAGAGAATTCAGTGCTTTTTAAAAAAAAATAGGTTTGGAGGCTTATTTGTTTTAATAAACATTTTGTTGTTTTGTTAAATACTTTTATATGGTTTTAAAACCATGAAGTTCTTATATATTTTAATAAACATTTTTGATCTCATACAGTGTTTTACTATTTTATATACATATATAAACACATTTTTATTAAGATTTTTATTATTATTATTTTATTATTTTTTAGGGAGATTGGTTAAAATAAATAAAAAAAATCATACAGGACAAATTAGCTCTAAATATTAATTATAACCTAGCCCCCACACCAGTTTTTTTTTAATAGAAAAATGCATGTATTTTTAAAATCAAACTGAAAATTTATAACTTTGGTAATAATAAATATTGATGAAAATATTTAAAATTAGGCACAATTTAGTCACTTACTTACCTACATAATGTAAAAGAGGATGCATTGAAAAAAATTCAAGAAATGTTTTTTCAATGCAACCTTTTATACATTATAATATAATGTAATTACATTTTATAAATAACATTTCTGCCAAATTTAAATTTTTTCATAAATTATTACCAAAGTTAAATTTTAATTTCAAAAAATACATGCATTTTTCCATTGAAAGGTTTGACTGCGATGGTGGCCAGGTTAAAATTAATATTGAGAGCTGAAACTTGGCATAATTTTTTTTATTTATATTTAACCGATTAGAACCACCCCAAAAAAAAATCAAAAAAATAGTAGTTTAAATTTAAGCGGGAAGAATAATGAAAAAAAAGGTTATGAAATAGCTTTATTACAGTAAGTACACAATTATTATTACAGCTCTAAGAGAGTTGTATTATAATAGTTAATCTTTAAATGACATAATAGCCATCATTAAACTGCACAGCAAACGAAAAATTATAGAAGTGTATAGGATGACTCCGCGTTTGAATATCAAATCTTAAAGTTTTATCATAACTGTATTGAATCGTGCTTTGTTTTTATATTTTTCGGCTCTATACCTATGCACGACTATATTTAAAGTCAAACTCAATGGTGTCTTACAAGATACATTATTTTGATTTTCTATATTCAACAGAGGAGTAGAAACTCGACCCTGTCGAATGGTGCAGTCATTTATGTCTCTAGAAATTATTAAAAAAGGGTTCAGTCCAATGGTGCAGCAACTTCGGATTCCTATTCTCCTCAGAGACATAGAAACTCAAGCTTTTCGAATTTTACTGGCAATGATTTTCGTTAATGTCCCCGAGAATTATACAAAAACAGCGCAATGCAATATCGCAACGGTTTCGACTTCTCTTTACTCTACCAAGTTATAGAAACTGGAGTCTCTCTAATACTGTTCTAGTCAATATTTCTGAGAGTATACAAAGAGGGTGTAATATTGCAAGAAGTTTTGATCTTTTGATGGATGCAAGTAGTTTAAATTTTCTCATTTCTGCATATGATTTTGTTGAAAATAGTTCCTTTTTTTGGTTCCTTTGTCTGATTTTTATTTACCGTAACAACGCAGGTATGTAAAGCACTGAGGATATGATGTTAAGTATATTTATGTATTATATAAAGTACCTATATTTGTATTAAAAATTTCAGTTATGTTCAAAAATTATCGATATGCTATTAAACTTTAATAATTTAGTAATTAGGTCTGTTGGTAGACCCTGCACTATCTCCACTGGTATATGTTAGTTTTGTAATATTTAAATCTGGTTGATGAAAAAGTACACACCAGTGCAGGTTATTGTAGCATCTACGAACAAATGAATTAATGGCCCATTGGTAATTATTCCTTTAGGAAAAATATTCAACACAGCTTAATTAATTAATAAAATGAAAAAAATCACAATCATGTCGTATATAGTTTTTTTTAAGCATAAAATAATTTTTATATTAATACTAGTTTAAAAGTGAAATTACGACCTCTATACTGTGGAGAGTATTGAAACGCTCGACTGACGAATACAACTCTATACCGTAGGGAGATTTAGAAAACGATATTCAAACGTGGCGTCATCCTATACACCTCTATAATTTTCCGTTTGCTGTGTGCTTCACTGGTAGCACAAAATAACTTGGTGATAATAATTAAACTGTTTAACAGTAATAATGATATTTCTTAAATAACTGTAGTTAATAGTTTTGAATATGTTTATAGATTGAATAACCATTGTTAAAGTGTTTTAAGACAACAGGTATTATAACCATAACTAAGCTGATAGACTGTCGACAGTCCCAAATTTGGGATCCCAAATAGTATACAACTTTTTAATAACTATTATTAAATATTTTATTACCAGCTTTAAACATTTCTTTCAGTATATATATAATTCTGAGTTTGAGGACTGTATTTACCATATACCTATAAGTTATAGGTATATCCCACATGACAAAGAACGTTTTAGAAACATTTTGTTACATTCTCAAAAAGGTCACATTTTGAACGTTTAAAATTTACGTCTCAATCTTGTTTCATAGACAGTAAATATGTGCTCTCTTTTTAAATGTGTCCCATAAATGTTTCTCGGACGTCCGGATTTCTACTTGCCCTGGCCAACATTTATGAGCCATTCATTTTGTGACGTTATGGGACTGTCACCACATATACATCAACAAAACAGTAATATCGTTACGTTTAAAATGTGATGTCTATAAAACAAAATTAAATGTTCATCATTGTGACAATACTGAATTTACGTTAATTAAACAGTTCATTCTTGACGTTAAGATTAGGATGTCTCTAACACGAAATTATACGCTTGTTATTGGAATGTTATTATATAAACTTTAATAAAACCGTAAATTCGAGACGGGTCAGTCTACGTATTGCAACGACAGGTGGTTATCGTCGCATTTTTCTAATTTTTAATTTAAATTAGTGTGTTAGTGAAAAATCTTAAAAACAGTGTAAGTGCTCTTGGTTAGATTGAAGGTTGTATAATTAAACATAAAAAAATATAGATAATTTTCATTAATATTTCAAAAATAATTAGTAGGTATACCTATAGGTACAGTGGCCGACACGGAATTTTGAACGACTATCATCCCGTTGACATCAAAATCTAAACTTTCTTTATGGACAACTAACCTTACTTTCGGTTATCACTAGTATTGTAATTTTGACAGCGAAAGCAAACATGCTCAATATTATATCTTTGCTATTTACAGATGTATACATTGACAACCAAGTTATGTCGTTCAAAATTCCGTGACGGCCACTGTACTTAAGTAGGTACTTAATTAAGTAGGTATTATAAAATATTTTAAAATTTTAATTAGTTGAATGCATAACTATTCATATTTAATTAGGTAAATAGTAAAAATATTTTTGTCCCTTCCTTCTTCCACAGATAGACTAAATCAATTTGTCTCCTACAAAAATCAAGGTTAAAAGTACCTACCTATAGTTATACAGCAGTTTCAATCATTCATGTTCACAATTAAGTATAATATATATATATATATATATTGTACTATTTTTGTAGGAAGAAGGCTTGGAGCCGGTAAACGGTAGCCATTTGCTTTGTTTTTATTCTTGTGGATTCTAGGTAGTTTATAAATAATGTTTCTTTTATTTTGTGTTGTTAGTTTTTAATTTATTTTATATTATTCTTTTTTAAGAGTTTAAATATATTAGCTATTATATAATATATAATATATACCTAGGTATTTATGTTATTTTAAATTATATGAATAAAAATTTATATTATTAAGACGTTTTTTCATTACATCCAGGTGATTTTTACCCCATGTAACATTTTTTCCGATATATAAATGTTACAATAGAAGCGTAATTGTAGAGTACAGAAATTGACGTCATAAAATCTGCTAATTCATCACAGTACAGCAACGTTAATTTTGTGACGTAACAATGTTACATCTTTGAAGGCGGACATTAGCAGTCCCCATGACGTTATTAGTACGTTTATGTTACATTAACGATAATGTAACAATGTCACAAGGGACGTTTTATGAACGTTTAGGTTGCAAGTTCTTGCCATGTGGGATGGTATTTACAATATGTGTGAGCGTAGATCGGTTCATGATAAATTGTTCCTTCTTAGTTTAAAATATATGTCTTGCAACATTTAATATGTAGCTTCATTTAAATTAAGTTAACACAAACCCAAACTTAACAACCCAACCGACCACGCCCCATTGCCCCCCCACGCCCCATTGGGCAATAGAGGTATAATATATCTAATTAGATGCCCTTAAGGGCAGGCTGGATTGTGACAATGGGGCGGGGGGGCCCAATGAGCGGGGTCGGTTGGGTTGTGTTAAGTTTGGGTTAGTTTGGAATGGCACAGTGTACCTGCATAAGCAAGATGACAGCTAATCGTCATAACCTTGAGGAATACTATA